ACCTATATTATGTATATATTCCTGTACACGGATTGCCCCATTTTCTCTATCTTTAGTTTTTTCTAAATCGTTTGCATGGTTGAAATTCATCTGAAATGAAACACCACATAGACAAATTTCGGACCACCCAGCTGTCCATGCTGTGGTAAGTAGGACACATCTGATCTGTCCACACGGAAGTAAGTAGACACATCTAGAGATAATGGGGCAATCTCTGTACATGGTGTCCTCAAATGACACTGATGGTTTTAACAATCCCAAATATTATTGATCTCTTGGAAAATTTTCAATACTCGTTTTCTTCTCAACCCGTTTCAAATTCAGAAACAAACTACAAAGGATATTTGCTGCAACTATTTGTCTAAATCGAACCATAAAGGCTTCTGTGAAATTCCTGAGATCATACAGAAATATCAATCAGTAAAGGAGGAGACTATATTTAAAAGAAGAAAAACTACCACAACAAAAGGACATAGTCTTAAATTAGAGGGACAAAAGGTTTAAAAATAATATCAGGAAGTATTACTTTACTGAGAGGGTAGTGGATGCATGGAATAGCCTTCCAGTTGAAGTGGTAGAGGTTAACACAGTAAAGGAGTTTAAGCATGCGTGGGATAGGCATAAGGTTATCCTAACTATAAGATAAGGCCAGGGACTAATGAAAGTATTTAGAAAATTGGGCAGACTAGATGGGCCGAAGGGTTCTTATCTGCCGTCACATTCTATGTTTCATCTGATGTGTCCACGCTGAGGTAACTAGGCCAACATCTGATCTATCCACGCTGAGGTAAGTAGGCCACACCTGAACAGTCAACACTGGGGTAACTAAGTAACGTCTCAGACAGTAGTAACGAAGGTACATCTGATCAGCCCACGCTGAAGTATGTAGGCTACATATAGTCTGCCCACGGGGGGGTAACTAAGTTATATCTAACATGTCCACTTCGGGGTGACTAGCCTACATCTAACATGTCCACTCTGGGGTAACTAGGCTAATGTAATCTGTCCACTCTGAGGTAACTAGGCTACATCTAGCATGTACAGACAGGGTTAACTAGGCTACATCTAACATATCAACGTTTGGGTAAGAAGGCAACATCTGAATTGCCCTGCAGTAACTGGAACACATACTGTGAAGCCACACCAGAGTAACAGAACTTTAACTAGTGGGTCTACGCTAGAGTAACAGCTACACATGGCCTGCCCGTGTTGATATTGGTGTAGCGAGGATTAGTTCTACGTGAGTCATTCACGAACATGGCACAACTTGCATAACACAGGGTTATCTGCAGCCCATGTCTCTATGGATTATTAACTTATACTTATCACACAGGAGTCTAAATAGATCACCCCGCATTCTCGTCAGATCACCCAGCAGTTTAAGTAGAATATAGAAACAGTCTGTTGAGATCACCCAGCAGCCTAAAGAGAGATCTGCTGGCAATTTGAAACAAGCAACTGTCAGATACTGTATTTACAAACCTAGACAAAAAAAAAATAATAACATTCTCTCGAGTAGAACAGGTAGGAGACAGGGAGAGAACATGAGACTTTAGTTACTGACAGTCAGAGACACGTTCTGAGCTCTCACCTGACCATTCTGCAGGTCTTGTGTGTGTGTCTTCAGCTGAAGTCTGTCCGTCTCTGTGCAGTGTGTATCTCCTGCTAGTTTGTTCCTCTTTCTCTTCTTCCTTCTCTCACTCACAAGTTCAGAAAGCTGTTACAGATCTATTTCCTTATCCTTCTCAATAGATCTCCTGTTACAATGACTCCCTGCAGAATTAACAAACGATCTCTCAGATTCTCACATTCTCCTAAACCGTCTCACTCTCTCTACCTGTGTCACTCTGCCTCACTCTGTCTCTCTCTCTGTCCTCCCCTCTCGCTCTTTCTGTCCCTAGCACAGGAAGCTCTTGTTCTGTGTTTCCACTTCTCTTTTTCACAGGTCACTTCAGACATTGTGTAACTTCAAACTAGCTACACACACAGTGCAGGGACAGAAACACAGGCATGCACTTTACAGGTTACATTACAATAGAGTGAGGTACAGTAGGCATACAGTCTGTATTTTATTTACGTAGCTCTAACAGGTGTACTTAGCACTTTACAGGTTACATTACAATAGAGGGAGGTACAGTAGACATACAGTCTGTATTTTATTTACGTAGCTCTAACAGGTGTACTTAGAACTCTACAGGTTACATTACAGTAGAGGGAGGTACAGTAAGTGCAGTAGGTATACAGTGTGTTTTTAATGTAGCACTAACAGGTGCTACATTAAACATTACATTATGACGTACAGTAAGTGCAATAGGTATACAGTGTATGTATATTTTATTTATAAAGCAGTAACAGGTGTACTCAGCACTTTACAGGTTACATTACAGTAGGACGTACAGTAAGTGCAGTAGGTATACAGTGTATGTATATATCGTCTATATAGCACTAATAGGTATACTTACTGCTCTACCAGTTACATTACAGTAGAGGTAGGTTTAGTAAGTGCAATAGGTATACAGTGTATGTATATATTATTTATAAAGCAGTAACAGGTGTACTCAGCACTTTACAGGTTACATTACAGTAGGAGGTACAGTAAGTGCAGTAGGTATACAGTGTATGTATATTTTGTTTATATAGCACTAATAGGTATACTTACTGCTCTACCAGTTACATTACAGTAGAGGTAGGTTTACAGTGTATGTATATATTATTTATAAAGCAATAACAGGTGTACTTAGCACTTTACAGGTTTACAGTAGAGAAAGGTACAGTAAGTGCAACATATTTTATTTATATAGTACTTGTTATATATTTATATAGCACACAAGATCCACTCACTTACTAAATGCCAACTTCAAAGCTCACAAAGTTTAATATTTGTTTATTCTTCAATTTTATACACCTGACATAAAAATAATGGGGATTTAGTTACAGCACATGGTCATACATAGCATAATACTGCCACAACGCCAGTGTACCCCCTTATACGTATAGGTTACTTTCTTGCTAGTAAGCCGTAAGGCCAGATCAGTGGAGTGCGGCAGCGATAGCTCAGCCTCTGCAAGTTGCTCTCATCTACACACGATCTCTGAAGCTTAGAGTCACCAATGGTTTCTTGGTTACCAATGCCCTTTTCCCCTGATTGAGTCCTGGTTGTTCCAAACTTCTTCCATTTAAGAATTATGCACGCCACTGTGCTCTTGAGAGCCTTCAATGCAGCCATTTTTTTGTAGCCTTCCTCAGATCTGTGCCTCTACACAATCCTGTCTCTGAGCTCTGCAGAGTTCCTTTGACCTCATGGCTTGGTTTGTGCTCTGATATGTATTTACGGTGAGACCTTATAGAGAGAGGTGTGTGAATCATATCCAATCAAAGAATAGACACATCTCAAAGATGATCCAGTGAAAGTGAGATGTTTTGGGGGGTGGGGGCGGTTTCTTCTTTTTAATACATTTGCAAAGTTTCAAAAATATTGTTTTGTTTGATTTGTCATTATGGGGTATTGAGTGTAAATTGATGTTGGAAAAAAATAATTGTAGCATTAGATTGCAACATTAAAACTGTTTTAGAAATACATACCATTACCTGCATGTTATGAATGGCTACTCCTCTTTTGTGTAAATATTTATTGGAGCTAATTTATGATGTGAAATTAATTTCACCATTGTGATAAATCTCAAGAATGTGGTATATTAATGTCTCCAGAACCCAGAGAAGTTATTTTTTTTTAAACTTTATATTTTATTAAGTTTTTTTACACGTCCACTGAAGAATGTCACAATCTTCAAACTTCATACTACTCGGCAATCTGGATCGGGCCATAATGGCAGGTCGCCCTGATATGTCTCTGGTAACAATAATTGTGTCACTGGGTGCTTCAGACGGAGCTGTTGCAGCCTTGCGTACACGGAATGCTATAAGTAGCATGGAGGGATCTGCTCCTTCTTTTAGGCCCATAGAAGCGACAAGCCTTTAAGTATAGGGCAGTAATGCTTCTCCCTTTACCACCTCTGATATTCCCCGCAGGTGGATATTACACCTATGCTGGGATTCCATTGGGGCCACCACTCAGTGTAATCGTTGGACCTGTTGGGCAAGTCCCTCCAGGTGGGTCTTAGTGGTCTGTAGATGGTCGTCCTGAGCTTTTCTCTCTCTCCTCCATTCTTTGATCTTCTGTTGGATAGCTCCCATCTCCTTTTGGGCTTTCTGGAGCTCGGCCTTCCGCACAAATCCAGGAGCAGCTTCCTTATTTTATTTTTTATATATAATTCTTTTTCTAATTTTTGTTGTGTAAACAATGCCACAACAGCAGGTATAGGCATATTAATAAATCAAATATAAACATTGGTATGGCAAAGGTAACAAAAGCACAGTTTTCATTTTAAAAGATACAGTGGTAGTTTCATTGTGTGTGCCAGTCATGTCTAGATGCAGATTAAGTTAGAGGGAGTGCCATAGCTGGGATGAGAAATAGACATGTAAATTGTGGTATTAAATCAAGGAGTCATGTAAGGAAAGCTTGTGTAATGTGTTTGATATAAGGTACACAGTAGACAGTAATAGTTCAGCTAATAGGTCCCTTGCCAGAAATGAAAGGTACAACATAGGGTTTAGGTACTCAGTAGGGTATATTAGTCCCCAGCAGGGAGTCACCACACACCTGATGCTACGTGTGTAATGAAATATGCCATCTGGTGTCAGTGGGGGAGGGGGATGAACAGGTATAAATAGAGTGCTGTATACCAAGAAATATGATGGTAAGTCCAAGGTACATGAGGGTGTACTGAGTAAATGTTAACTAGGTCTATGGGACCCATACGATCATCAGAGAACAGAAAATATATAAACCTATACACTGTAAACTCGTTTTAGCAAGGTCCTCTTCAACCTATCGTTTCAGTAAATTTTCTTGTAATTTTCCTATTTATAGTTAAATCCCCTCTCTCATAATATTGTAAAGCGCTACAGAATCTGTTGGCGCTATATAAATGGCAATAATAATAAGGAAACAGAAAAGAGATCATCTATAAACAATGAAGAAATCGTAAAGGAACAGAGCAGAGCATTATTAGCTTCAAGCTACTTCTGGGGGGGGTGGGGGAGTTGCAGTCTTGGCAGTCCCTTGGTACTTCAGATATTCCTCTCTGTTATAGCCACTCAGGTCTCCTCTCGTGGAGGTGGTAATCGCCTGGATGCCGTGGAGTGAACTCGACCACTGTAGAAGGGTTCAGTCGGGAGAGGTTTGTCCCCTCTACACGTGGAGTTGAGATCAGGCCCGCTGCACATAGGTGTGGGTCCAGTTCCTAGTAAGTCGGAGCTCGGTATGTCGTTCCCTGATGTGTGAATGAAATCAGATTTGGGGTCCCCCATCTGCATTGGATGCTCTTATTGCTGAGCAGTTGTAAGAGCGGTTGCAGGGTCTTACGCCACCCTATGGTGCTTCTGGCACCCTCAAATGATAGAGGAGTCTTCCCCCGTGCAGCTGCACGGATTATTAGGTCCAAATGTGCTGCAGTCAGTGCTGTCATCGGTTTCAGCACTCGGAACATGCCGTCCAGTCGCACTGCTTTGGCCTGTCAGGGGCAGCTTTTTTTATATGCCTACTGATAAACTTTACTCTGCCGGGGAGAGGTAAATAACTCCTTATCCTCCAGGGACTACTTTGAGGCCTCCTCCACAGACCTTGTAGCATTAGTCATCTTGGGAGGTGCTGGCAGTGTAGACATATCTGGCAATTTGGGAAGACCAGGCGGATTAAACTTTCGGTGCTTGTGCCCCATAATGTCTTCTTAAGGGGGGGGGTGAGATTGTGCAAAGGTCTCTGTGGAGCTTGTGACTGTAATAAAGTCGGCTTTAACGCTGAGTAGATGTGGAGCTCCACTGAAATCCGTCTAAGCAGATGCTCGGACAGCCACGGCGAGAAGTTATTATTTATCCATAAATGAACACTCCAAGCATCATAACCACTACTGCCACTCACTCAGAATAATTTGTCAAACCCCCAGGCACCAGATGTCTTCACTGAGCTAAGCAAGACCGATATACGGCCTTACTCACAGCCAATGAGCACAGCTCTGCACTGACCTTTTTTTAATCCTGCAAGGATAATCCAGGAGGAGGCAAAGCAGGATATTAAAGGGACAAAGATGTATTCCAACATTAGAGTGGTATACTACTTAAATGTATACACCCCCTAATAAAAATCAAATAATTTTATATACATTTAGTCCCCTAGATCGCTGGTCTATGCTCAGATTTCTACACTAGGATTATTAGAGTAGACAACCGACTGTTACTACCTTTAAAATGTAATCCAACACGTGACTAAATAAATATCAGCTTCTGTCCAATCAAATATTTCACAATCACAAACCCTATTGTATTTGTAAAACATAGTAATATAATGACATAGATCAATTATCTGCATATTGTCTTTCATACCACATGTTGTCATTTTTTAAATCAACTAAAACAGAAATCTATAGAACTACAATTGTCTGTCAAATCCCTAATTGCATGGCCACACATGCACAGAGCCAGCTGTAGAACACAGCGCAATGTTGCACGCAATAGGTTGGGAACACAATGTAGCAACAAACGATCTGGGAAACGCAGTTCAAGTTAAACACACAATGCGAGGCCATAACCTTGCAGAATGCAGCGGAACACAACGCAGAGTTAAGCATTCATACACCACAGGGTTAAATACACAGATGTCTGGGGGGACATATTACAGGGATGCACACATATACAGTGCATATTTACTAAGCTCAGCATTCAAAGTGAATTTCAAATTTATGGGCAGAGAAGCTTTCCAGTATAGCTTTTTTGAAAATTTTAAAATTCACTTTGAATTCTCAGTTTAGTAAATAACCCTGAAAGATTTATTCAATAAACCACAAACTATATTCTTTTGAAAACTGCGTTCCAAAAATCTTGAAATTTGCTGCAGTCGCAGCTTGACTATTTTTGCCTGAATTTGGAGATTCAGTTTTTAACTCACTGAAATTTGGTGTTTACTGAATAAACCCCAGCAGGCTGAGAAATACAATGCAGGACAAACACACAATAGGCTGGGCTCTGGAGAGAGCACAGAGCAAAGATAAAAAAAACACACGCAGTATAGACACTGCAGGGTGGAGAACACAGTACAGAGACATACGCACAATAGCTAGAGAATGAGGATTTGTTCATTAAACAGTGCATTGTAGATAAGTGAAAACCAGCTGGTAAATGCAGGCAAAATTATCCGATCTGAATCTAACCTACTCAGGTACAGTGAGAGCATGGCTATTTTAACCCAAATTTCACAAATCGGCTTTCCAATTCATAATTTACTGAATTAATCCTAGAGAACAGAGTATAGGAATATACATGCACCTCCCTCCCCCCAAATAGTGCAGAGATACATACACACATTCACAAACAGAATGCAGGAATATGCACACACAGAATGCAGGGATATATGCGCGCGCACACACAGAATGCAGGGATATATGCGCGCAGACAGACAGAATGCAGGGATATACGCGCAGACAGACAGAATGCAGGGATATATGCGCGCCGACAGACAGAATGCAGGGATATATGCGCACCGACAGACACAATGCAGGGATATATGCGCGCCGACAGACACAATGCAGGGATATACGCGCGCCGACAGACACAATGCAGGGATATACGCGCGCCGACAGACACAATGCAGGGATATACGCGGACACAGACACAATGCAGGGATATACGCGCACACAGACACAATGCAGGGATATACGCGCACACAGACACAATGCAGGGATATACGCGCACACAGACAGAATGAAGGGATATACGCGCACACAGACAGAATGAAGGGATATACGCGCACACAGACAGAATGAAGGGAAGAGACAAAGTGCAGAACTGAGCTATTTTAGCAGCATGGTCATTTTTAGCCTAAAACATCCACTTGTCCGGACTGCACAATTTAGTGAGCATCCCTCCATATGTATAAGATTTAAAGCATTCAGAGTGTGGAAAATGTCTATTAGGGCCCAAGGCAATTAAACAACAAAGTGAATCTAGGGTACAGACATTTTTTTTAAACATAAATCTAGCAAGAATTGTTGGCCACACCCTAAATGTGCCAGACTCCCCCAGGGGAACAGTATACAAAACATGACTGCACTGCCACCCCCATAAATACACAGAGAAGGGACTGGCATACACAGATCAGAGAGTCAGATATACAGTGTGCAAAACAGATAGCAGAATGTGCAGTAGACAGAGGGGAGGCTGGGATATACAGAGCACAGAGTCGGATATACAGTGTGCAAAACAGATAGCAGAATGTGCAATATACAGAGGGGAGGCTGGGATATACAGAGCACAGAGTCGGATATACAGTGTGCAAAACAGCAGAATGTGCAATATACAGAGGGGAGGCTGGTATACACAGAGAAGAGTCAGATATACAGTGTTCCAAACAGATAGCAGAATGTGCAATACACAGAGGGGAAGCGGGGATACACAGAGCAGAGTCAGATATACAGTGCGCAAAACAGATAGCAGAACGTGCAATATACAGAGGGGAGGCTGGTATACACAGAGAAGAGTCAGATATATAGTGTGCCAAACAGATAGCAGAATGTGCAATACACAGAGGGGAGGCTGGGATACACAGAGCAGAGTCAGATATACAGTGTGCAAAACAGATAGCAGAATGTGCAATAAACAGAGGGGAGGCTGGGATACACAGAGCAGAGAGTCAGATATACAGTGTGCAAAACAGATAGCAGAATGCAATATACAGAGGGGCTGGGATACAGAGCAGAGTCAGATATACAGTGTGCAAAACAGATAAGAATGTGTAATAAACAGAGGCTGGGATACACAGAGCAGAGTCAGATATACAGTGTGCAAAACAGATAGCAGAATGTGCAATAAACAGAGGGGAGGCTGGGATACACAGAGAAGAGAGTAGGATATACAGTGTGCAAAACAGATAGCAGAATGTGCAATAAACAGAGGGGAGGCTGGGATACACAGAGCAGAGAGTCAGATATACAGTGTGCAAAACAGATAGCAGAATGTGCAATATACAGAGGGGAGGCTGGGATACACAGAGCAGAGTCAGATATACAGTGTGCAAAACAGATAGCAGAATGTGCAATAAACAGAGGGGAGGCTGGGATACACAGAGAAGAGAGTAGGATATACAGTGTGCAAAACAGATAGCAGAATGTGCAATATACAAAGGGGAGGCGGCGATACACAGAGCAGAGAGTCGGATATACAGTGTGCAAAGCAGATAGCAGAATGAGCAATATACAGAGGGGAGGCTGGGATACACATATACAGTTTGCAAAACAGATAGCAGAATGTGCAATATACAGAGGGGAGGCTGGGATACACAAAGCAGAGAGTCGGATATACAGTATGCAAAACACATAGCAGAATGTGAAATATACAGAGGGGAGGCTGGGATACACAGAGCAGAGAGTCGGATATACAGTGTGCAAAACAGACAGCAGAAAGTGCGATATACAGAGGGGAGGCTGGGATATACGTAGGGCATGTTTCCATGCTTGTCTTAATCATTTTTTTAATAGTAAAACCTTTAACATTTATTGACTTGTGATTATTTTCTGCTGATAGTTGTAACACTTCCCAGAGGGCCACTGATCACAAACTGGGTTTTTTAATAAAGTGAGAAGTGCTTCACATTTGGCTATATTCGTCTTAAATTAGAAATTCACTTTGAATTTGACAATTCTCACTTTAGTGGCACCTTTAGTAAATATTGTATAGCGCTATGGAATTTGCTGGCGCTCTATCAGCAATAAAATAATAATAAACAATGTCGATAGTGTGTAATACAGAGAGAGACAGATAAGAGTATTAGAGTATGTAATACAAAAAGCAGAGAGAGTGTGTAAAACACCAAAAAGATATACACATGGCATTTCGTTACTGCTTGTGGACATTTTACTGCAAACATTTTATTAATAAGGACACGTTTCCTCCTCCTCCACTAGGAAATTCCCCAAATTAGGGATGCTATAGGTAAACTGAGCCACCTGAGACTCACCTTGTCGAACAACATACCGACTAAGCACCAGGTTAACTCACAAAGTATGCAGGGCTAAAGGGACTCTCCAGATCCCTTAAGCACTTCAGCTTTATGTGTGAAGAGTGTCTCCTCTTCTTTTCATTTTGCAAAAAGTGCGTATTTTCATAGAAATTGAAACTTTTTTAAATTAAATTAAAGTGGCACTGTCATGGCTGCATCCATCCCCTTC